ATTGTGTATTAAAATGACGTTCGAGCAAATATTTGCAATCTAATGGCACAATTATTTTTGATCCTTCAAAAAAAAAAAGAAGAAAAGAAAAGAATCGGTGTTTGTTGAGAATATTTGCTTCATGGCCGTCACAAGAATCGGTCATTTGTTGCTTTATGCTCACCATTTACCTATAATTTAGAAAAGATGCCAAATCAACTTCATTGAGATGTGATAAGCTTGACACATGGTTGTGAGATGATGGACGTCCTCAGAACATCGTTTTTTTTATAAAATATTCTGCCTCTTCTATTTAGCAAATCAACAATCGAAAATTCGCTGAGATGTGTAAAAAGGGCCAATGTTTGTAAAATATTCTATAAGTTATAAATATATTTGAAAAGATGTAAAAAATTTATAGTTGGCAATGATGTACCGTTAAATACCATGCGCCGCTTTGCTTAAGACGGTCATTCATAAAAGGACCTTTCAAAATAAGGTTTTATATGGTAAGCGATTGAAAAAATAGTTCAATCCGAATCATTTTCAATAGCATTCGTCCTTGGGTTAAAATAAAATTTCATCGAAATATCTTTGATTTATAGTTTTGACACAAGAAAACAATACGGGCAAGCGGACTTGCAAGGATCGCTTTCTGCGAACCGATAGGTGTAATAAAAAGCGAATATTCCATATATCCATTCTCACACATCTAATATTCCCTTCTACTAACCGTGCGGTATGGTATACATACATAAGAGAATCAATCGTTTCAATGGCTAGGGAAAAGTGTATATTACAATGAATGAATGTTTTACCTTGAAATTACGATTATTTTGGACTTTTTGTTGTCTTTTTTTTTTTTTTTAATAATTCTAAAATCTATTCAAAAATATTCATGACTTTCGATATCATTATTAGAAAAATATTTATATAATTAATTTGCGAAACCACAATTGTTAAAAAAAAAAATAAATATATAAATAATTTGAAAGCAAGAGATCTGATTCAGTTTGCAGAGAATCTTTCAACACCCTGCATAACTCTCCACGTAACTATCGGCTTTTATTCGCTTTCAAGTCGTTCATTAGTTTGTCTCTAGGCGGGTAATACATTAGTTCTGTCAATGCGTTTGTTCCAGGGGAAAAAAAAATCTTAAAAAGATTCTTAATCAATGTTAAGATTATACCTAATCTTTGTGATCATTAAATGACTGGCTTAAGGTAATTTCACACAATTGCGAAATTCCGATGAATGTCGTTTGATATTTTTTTTGTACTGGTTGGCTTATATATCGACTATGAGTAGGCATTTAATGACTAAAGAAATCCGATATTAACTTAACCGTTGATCGATCAACTATTTTGGGATGTTTACTGC